TTGGGTCGGTTCGCGAGCTTCTTTTGGTGTCTCGGATGGTAAGACAGGGCTCTTTGATGGATTAAGGGCTTCCGCAAAAGTTCTTGTTACTGTGGCCCTAATATTAGGGTCGAATGGGCATTTATTTTTAACATGCCCGTGTCGTCTGCATCCATTGCATACGACATCTTCACCGATAAATATAGTAAATTTTTTGTCCATATAAGGCACGTTAAGCGTTGCAGGCATAGGGGTTTTCTCCTTGGTCTTAAAAACAATTTCCCGCCTTAGCGACGAGAGGTGTTTCAGGAGGGGATTGTCCGTGGGGAATGGGAGGGGACGGCTGCTTATCATTTGGCCATAAGGCTCCAGAGCTATCTTGAGGTCTTGGTCTTGAATAAAGGCCAGTACGCCCGAAAGGATGTATTTCTTTGAGGGTTTAAATAGTGGGCAGGGGAACACAGTAATGTCTTTGACCTTGAATCCACTATCGATTAGTTTTTGGGCTTGTTCATTGTTGGCGACAGACACTATCGCCTGTCCATTCATTTTGACAACAGAATGGATGTTTTTGTATCCGATGATATTTGCTATTCCTATCAGGTGGTCTTCGGCTGAGGCGTTGGGTATAGATTCGAATTGCACTGTGGATTTTATGAATTTACTTCTACTTTCATGAGTGGCCTTTCTTTCCTCGTCGAATTTTTTCCTATCTTCAGGAGAAAAGTAATGTTTAGTTTTTTGCATATTTTCAGATATTATTGCTTCATTTGGTAAGTGTGTAGAGATTGCCTTCGAGGCTTGCGAAGATGATGGTGATTTTGGTGATTCATGAACATCCGATGAACTTTCAGATGGAATTGATGACGCAGCGCCAATCTTGGTCGTTGCCATGACGATGATACTTCAAGCCTCAACTTGAGACTTGAAGTTATGCAAAACTGCAAACTGAAAGAACGAAAAAAATCAAACAGTGATACTAAAGATGATAAATATACAATATTGATGAGATTTTTATGCTGATACTGAATATGATATTTGAATTTACCAGAGACAAGCGAAAAGCGAACAACAGATACAAAACGCGGAGCTCGCGCGACTCGTGGCCGCACGGTCGACGTATTAATACCTATTTTTGATAGAAGAATAGTTTTTCCACACACTAAAAAGGAATTTTATAATTAAATAAATATTCTAAAATGAATATAAAAATTAGTGAATAATTCTTCTCAGCAGAGAGATAATGTGAAAATCTCAATACCTTTTACTGAAGCTACAAGTGATGGTATCATGATAGAAGTATAAACAATTTTTGGCAAACAGAAGAGGCAAAATCAATAAATCAATTGTAAACAGTATAATATTTTGAATATATTTTATTCAAAGGTTCGTGACTATCACTAATTTTAAAAATTATTAATATATATCTGTATAAGGTTTTCTCCCTGTATATATAATTCCTTGGAGATTTATTTTGAAGTTTATTATTATTTCTAACCTTAACATCAATTTTATCTACAGTATTGTGACTATATATTACAAAACACAATTTCATATAATATCATAAGTGTGTTTTCTTTTTTAAATATTTAATATTTTTTACTTTGATATTTATTTTATTTTTTGAATAATAGATCAAAACTAATTTGATTTTAGAATTTTGTTTCACTTTGATAGCACATTGAAGATCAACACTCAATTCGAGTACAATAACTATAATAACGTTCTCCGTTGATTTGACGAGTTGGAAGATAATTTTCAAATAATAATTTCAACTACTAATAGATTGCGCATTATATTTTCAATTATATATCATTTCAAAATTTCAAAATATTTTCTTACAATGAGTTTATTTTTATTAAAAAACGCTAATTTAAAGCGATAATCGCTCTTCAACGGGCTTAATAAAACATCGACTATATCTTACAAGAAATATTTAATAATTCAAACGCGCACAGCGTGGATATTTACAACTGATATTTTGAATTGATATGTAATTTAAAAATATTTTGGAATATGTCTATTTACACCTTTAGGTCATCCAGAACCTATAAAATTGATCTGTTGATTTCTTTTGAGATATATCTAAGGTATTGTGATGGTAAATCTATCTTCCTGTTTATTATTATATTCTTCATATTCCATAACATTGATAAATTACATATCAATTTAAAATTTCAGTTGTAAATATCCACGCTGAGCGCGTATGTTTTTGTAAATATTTCTTGTAGGATATAGTCGATGTTTTATTAAGCCCGTTGAAGAGCGATTATTGCTTGAAACCTAGCGTTTTGAAATAAAATAAACTCATTGTGAGAAAATATTTTGTAATTTTAAAACGTTTTCACAATTTTATCATGAATAAATATATATCATCTATAGAAAAAGGTTTTCAGGGAGCAACGGCATAAACAAAATATATATTTAAAGAGTAGAAAAAAGTCACATTGATTTATAAGCAATTGTATTCATTGTTATTCCATAAGTAAGACAAAGACCTGTAACCTTAAAAAACAATTCGAATGAAATTTTGATATTTGTTCCACCGGTCAAATAAAACCCCCCGCATTGGATTTTCAAGATAAAATAATATAAGTAACATGTGATTTTGAGATTTATCTATTCTTTTCGCCATTTCAGTAAATAGAGATTAGTATGATTTCAGCACAAATTCTCTAATTATACAGAGTGTGAGAAAATTCGTGTAAAACATGAATAAAAGCATATACCCATCTATATTAATATATTCGGGATATGATTTATTTAGATATAATATTTTGGTTATAATAATCAATAAAAATATCAAATAATTAATTAATAACAAGCCAAATAAGTTGTTCAAGTTTGTAATTATAACTTTAATATATAAAAACCGTCTTTTAAGAATATTTCTATCATGATTATCTGACATTTTGACTTGAAATTCAAGATCCTTACATATTAATTCAATTTTCAATGCAATATGAAAATATACCAATATTGTTGCTTGATAAATGAAGATATAAAATACGTTTAAGACAAAAACAAGGATGAACTTGAAATTCACTACATGAGAGAAAACAGAGTCTGTTGTAATAGCTAGAGTGGAGAATATAAGTACCACAAAAGTTGAAAATATGAATTTATATATTTTGTTCAACCTCTGTTCAAATTTCCTAGATATAGGATAATAACTTATATAATGGAAAATCGTGTTTAATTGTTTGTTATTATTATAACAATAAAGAAGTAAACAAATAGACAAAATAAAGTGAATAGAAGTCAACATAGAACGATAACCAATTAAGAAACAATTTATAAACCTAATTATGACAAATAACAATAATTTAACTCGTGTTCTACGTACAGATTGTTTAATAGTAAAAAAGCTCATAGTGTTAATTACAAAAGAAAGATAAGAAGGAATGTTTATGGAGAATGTTCTTCTGTTTTCAGGATGGATTTCAGGCATTGTCTTCGTCTGCCTTTAATAAACACAGTTATCCATTTGTTAAAATTCTAAATTATTTATAGATTGATTAATTTTGATAATAAAAAGGCATATATTGTATTTAATAAAATATTTATTTGCCAATATTTTGGTTGGCTGAACGCCAAACCTTTATCAAGGCATTACATATTTTGTATAAACAGATTTTATACAAGAAATAAAACAAAAATGTATTGCCTTGTTGAAGATTTGGTGTTCAGCCAACCTATATATTGGCAAATAAATATTTTATTAAATCCAATATATGCCTTTTTATTATCTAATGATTCAAATATGGATTGCTCTATTTTCAAAAATATTGATTAAATATATTTTGTAAACTATATTTATTCTTATTTTGAAACGTTATGTAATGAAATAATATTATATATCTATTATTTGTTGAAAGAATATTTTTACCTTTGTAAATTTTATTAGAGAAAATATATACTCAATAATAAATAGAAATATGTTAATAAATATTTCTCCTCAGCCGAGATAAAAATTTTACTGAAGATAAAAATGAAATGGTATCATGAGAGAGAGAAGTTTAAACTTTTGTTGACAAACCGAAGAAACAAATCAATAAACCAATTGTAAAAATAATAGTTTTTTGGATATTTTTTATTCAAAGGTGCGTGACTTTCAATAATTTCACAAAAAAATAATGCATTTTCAAAAAAATATTTGATTTTATATAAGATTCTAGAAGATTTATTTATCTTCAAATCCATATTTTTTTCCCGAATATTAACATCAATTATTTCTCTAATGAATTGTGTTTATATATTTCAAAACTCAATTTTCTATACTAACATAATGGCCCTCTGCCTTCTGAAAAGCACATGTGCTCCTGGTCAGGATAGTCTTTTTTAATTTTACTAACATAATTTTTTTTTTCTAAATATTCAATTTTTTTTCTTTGATATACATTTTTCAATATTTGAAAAAAAAGATGAAAACGTATTCGAATTCACAATTTTATTTTACTTCGATATCAAATTCAAGAGTAACTTTCAATTCGAGTAACAATAATGACATTCTTCGTTAATTTGAGGATTTGAAAGAAAAAATTTTAATTAATAATTTCATGTACTAATAGATTTTGAATTTTATTCAAGATTATATGTAAATTTATATTATCAAGAGAAAAGGTTTATTTTTATATTGTCACTGAATAATTAATTAAAAGGTGCCCAATTTTACTCGACAATTGACCTACGCTCTGGATATTGGCAGATAGAGGTAGACGAGGCAGATAGAGAGAAAACCGCCTTTATAATCCCAGATGGTTTATATGAATTTCTCGTGATGCCCTTCGGCCTATGCAACGCCCCTGCAACATTTGAGCGTTTGATGGACAAAATCTTAAGGGGATTGAAGTGGACGCAGTGCCTATGCTATCTAGAAAAAAACGTTTTAATGAAAATATATTTATTTACGGGGCTGCTAACTAGAATGGATGATTTTTGAGCCCCGATGGACGCATAAAGCGGAATATATATAAAGCACTATGTACATTGCATTGTCGGAGGGGCCTGAGATGAAAAAAAGGTCACCGCCGATATTCGTACTCAGGATCTCCTGTTTACCAGACAGGCGCTTTAAAAAACTAAGCCACGGCGCCACACAACGTTTTAAGAAAAACACGAACTTTTGGGACAATCTTATAATAAGCTTATATTAGTTGCTCTCTGCAATAGTGGATATATCTGTGAATTATAAATGGGGTTAAAGAATAGACGTGTGGAGGATACAATATTTTAGATTATTGATTTACTATTTTCAATTTTCCATTGCAAAGTTTTACCACTCTGTTGAAAAGGAACTGATCACCGGAGGATTCTATTGAACGGTAATCAACCTCAAACTAAAAGGTAAGATAGCACAATACTACTAACTAACAAAGACAACAATTTATATACAATGTAATACACAACAGAATAACAGATCACTGGTCAATAACAATTATATTATGGTTATGAATTCTCATTCCAACACACTCATATGGACATCGCAATCTCCATCTGCAGATCATCGCTTAGGCGCCGTGCCTTCTCCAGCCACAAGGCAGAAATGTCCCATCATGAAGAAGACTCTTTCAAGTTGGAAGAGTCTCCTTTTCGCTGAAGAATATTTTCCAATGTCTATCAATTTTGCATATGTGATGATTTAAGACCATGGAATTGTTGTAAATAGTCCAGATATCTACTACCACATGTTCCACCACCTGACTGTATATAACTTGTTATTTACTGCAATTAGAAAGCCTCAGGTAACATTAATCTGTACCGCGTAAGAATCTAATAAAGCATAGCAACTGTACAGATAGAAGGAATGGAGAATAACAGGAGAAAATTAAGGTTAAGACTAATCAGGCTTAGGTGAGAATAGGAAAGCAGGCCTAGCAAACCCAGTCCAAATTTTACGAGGTCGTGGCCCTCCTGGATAATATAACTTCCCCTCCCCCATTTACGTCAGAAAAGGGAAGTGACCTGTTCGGACCCAGCTAAGCTATAAAAGAGGCCCCGAGCCTCATTTAGTCAGGCCTTTGTTTCAGCCCAACATTCGTCCAGCCGCGCAGGACGCTCCGATAGAGGTAAACCCTTTCCTGTCAGAAATCTCCTCGTCCCATTCCTTCTTGACGTGTTCTTAGTGGAATCTCTGCTTGCTTATTTCACCTTTGGCCTAGCTGTGTCGCCTTCCACCACGACTGCACGGTAGAGTTGACATCGAGGTTCGTCTAGCATCAGGTAACACTGGTCCCAGAGGTCCCAAGATATCACACATATATATCATTTATTTGCCTATTCCACGCTGACGAGCGCCAACAGGGCGAAAAGCGTTCGTTTTCTTGATTTATCAAGAAATCGAGTTGGCCAAATATCAGAGAACAGGTTAAATCAATGAATAGTTGATTTCTGTTCCACCAGATGGAGTTCTGCCTTCTGAAAAGCACATGTACTCCTGGTCAGGATATGCCTTTTTATTTTTTATATATCATTTAGTATCCCAATTTATAGATGTACATAGTCATATACACCGAATTCTTTGATTGAGCTTACAATTTGCTAATGGTGTGATACCCCGTCTTGTAGCTCCCAAGTATTTCAAGAGGTAGTCTGGTGATGCCTTCGTCTTGACGATGATACTCTGTAGAGAATATTGAACCATGCCCAAAGTGGAATGCACTTGTATTGCCATTTTTAAGCCTGGAAATACAGCTTGCCACCAATCGTTGTATACCACCTACCCAGAAATTAGCAAGGCTCTTGTCTGAATATCAATGATGAAATGTCGTTTCACGATGATATCTACATAGAAACGACGAACAGAGCAGGTTTTATTATATAATCAGCAACAATACCAAATTGGATCTTGATTTTTCACATCTACCTGAACATCTCGACAAAAGAAAAGGAATCACCATATTTCTTCCATCCTCCTTCTATAAAACGAAATAATTTTAGGAATTAGTTTCAATTGAAAAAGATTTCGAATTTTTTGGCGAACACAAATATTTCAGATTCTATTGGGAAAATATAAATTTCAAAAAATAAATATTCAAAATATTGCTCACGTCGTCTGATTTGTCAAATATAACAATGCTTGTATATGTAAATAATACAGATCCACAAACACATACTACTATATTCTGAAGTAATACTTAGGGAAATTGTTAGGTTAACACGATAATTTGTGAAGTGCTTTTGAGAATGCTAACCATGCTCTCTCAAATTTCTTCATCCAAGTAAGGAAAGTATATTAAAACAAGAACATTAAACATCCAGGAAAAGGTTTTTTATATTTATATTTTTTAAAGAAAATTTTCCCTGGAGGCTTAATGTTCTTGTTTTAATATTGAATCAAGGGATTATTTTACCGAAAGAATATATTTGTTTTATTCTGAAAAGAGAGAGATTTTTTGAGATTCGCTTATTAATTTATTGACATCCAGTCAACAATAATAGAATACAATAAAACAATTGGAAATCAAAATTATTTACACCAGAATGAAGGGACGTATATGATTCATAAGCTTCACAAACCGTCTTGATTTCAGTCATATTCTGACTTAGATAACGGTTGCTGACTCCATCAATCGCAATTGTATGGTCGAGGAATCTTCAAAAATGATCCTTTCTCTAGGTATAAGGTAGGCGAGGATATCCGCTCTGCCCTTTGCTGCATAAAACCACCCATACGTCATCTAAGATGCAGACATTGTCAGAACACCTTACTTCCAGGTGGTCTCCATCGCCCCCTACCGTGAACACCTCCGGCAGCTACACCTGGCCATATCTGAAAAATCCGCCTTCATCTTCATTAACGAGGGTAAAATTATCACGGATCTTCCAAAGAAGATCATTGTGACTGCCAAGGGTGGATCTACCTTGGCCTACTTGGAGTACAGCTTTCGTTGCTCCAAGTGCTACAGAATGGACCATAAAAGGATAAACTGTTCTCGATATAGATATCGTGCCTGTTCAAATCTATGGAAGGCATGCAGGATTCAGCGTCTAGTCTGTCAAACAGATCCTCTACCTCTTGTTTATCTGTCTGAGGAAACTGTTTGATTTGGTTTTCCTGGAAGATTCCAAAGTACTGAGGGAGAGTGCAGTCTCGTGACATTTTTTTTTGGCTGATTGTGTAGAAGACATCTGCACCAGGGCAGTCTCTGGCGCAGGGTGGTCTGCAGGTGGAGGTGTAGCGGTTGTGGGAACAGACGCAGCGGTCTTCACGCTGTTCCCCCCAGAGGCTTGGGTAATTCTTGCCACCCTATGAGGACAGTTTATCATTTTATGGCCCATCCTATAGCACTTGGAGCAATAGAAGCCGTACTCGAAGTAGTCCAAGACATATCCGGCTTTGGCAGTGACAATGATCTTCTTCGGAAGATCCGTGATCTTTTTCCCCTCGTTTATCAAGATGAAGGCGGTCTTCTTCGCGTCTAGCCAGGTGTAGCTGCCGGAGGTGTTCACGGCAGGGGCGATGGTGACCATCTGGCAGTAAGGTGTTCTGACAATGTCCGCGTCTTCGATGATGTATGGTAGGCCGCCGATGGTGATTCTTTAGGCCTTTAGGAGGAGCCCGTTAATTAACAGAACATACATTTACGTGAGGTTTTAGATGATGGTTTTATTTTATGGTCTACCAATATCTGGGGTGGATTAATATGTGCGTTTTTTTTTGTATGGGTCTTAACAACAGCGAACATGCGGGTTATTTATGGTGGGTGTATGTTACGCTATTTTAGACGATTTGAAAAAAAAAAGTAAATTTTGTAGGGAGTAAATTCACATATTTATTTCAAATCAGAGCGCTATTTCCCCCTAAGGACACTTGTGCTGTCATACATATTTGTCTCTAAATTTGTCTATAGATATTTACAATAATTTTAGGACGTGAAGAATATTCATATGATGTTAAAAATGAAAAAGAGAGAGAAAAAAAAAAGAATTGCCAACAAATATTCACATCAAATTAATATTTTTAATAAAGCGACATTCCCGTCAAAAGAGATCACAAAGCTCTAAATATTTATCGGCCGTATAATGCAATAAGCAAAATATTGTTGGACATAAATCCACAAAACAAGCTTTGGCGAAATCAGAACGCCCGATTCGGAGAGATTATTAGCTTTCTCACCAACCCGATTAAGCTAGTTTGCAGATAAGACTAGAAACTTGCGCATAGTACTGCATTTATTTTGATAAAATGATTTTTTCATATCTTCACAAATATATCAAGGAATAAAACTTTATATACAGTTCAGAGAAAAACACAGCCACATCAACCAAAAGTTTATTTTAACTCCCGAAGTTTCAGTGACTTCCTGTCACTCTCTTCAGGGGAATGTGATATACAATATATATATGTCATAAATTGTATAGTTAATTCCAAGAGCTATAATTTATTTTCGTCAAAATGAGTATGTAAATATGTAACGCTTGTGTTAAAATGTAAATATGTAAATTCATCCATCTATAAAAGCTGTACAAAAAATAAAGGTGTCAGACATCGCCTGTGCGCTGTTCGCTTGGCATAACGGCTGCGCCTCTTCATTTAGCTACGACATATACATATATTGGTTTTTAAAGAATACATAAAATTCATATTTGTTAGTCATAAGGATGCATTGTCATTCCAAAAGTGAGACATAATCCTATGACCTTAAAAAACAAATCAAAACATATTTTAAAATTTGTTCCACCTGTTAAATAAAATCCTTGCTTAGGATTTTCTTGGTAAAATATTAAAAGAAAAATGGGATTATGATATTTGTCTATTCTGTTCACCAATGCTTTGAACAGTGCAGATGAACGTTTTAAGATAAATTCTCCAAGTAAAAATATAGTAAAAAAATTCAGGAAAAATATAAATAAAAATACACAACCATTCAAACCTATATTTACATAATGTATTTGGGTATTATGTATCATATAGGTTAAATTTACAATAAAAAATATCAAATACATTACTAAAGGTAAACCAAATATTTTGTTCAAGTTTGAAACCGTGTTTTTAATATAGGCAAACCTTTTACGCAGAATATTAATATCAAGAGATATATTATTTGAATCTTTTACTTTAACTTCAAGATCCTTACAAATGAATCCAATTTTT